TGATTTGTGGTGATAATGCATACCAAATTTGCTGAAATCTACCAAAACTTCCAGAGCTACACTCAAGAGAATTACCTAAGTAGCTAGAAAACTCGTTTACGATACTAACTGTCAACGCCGTCAACTACGCCGTCAACTACGCCGTCAAAAATAGTAGTCCACGAGTGAAATTTCTTCATAACTTCACATGATTCGTCCGTTTTCAACTTACTTACTTAGAGTACCATTATAGATGACAAAGTATATAAGAAGACAAAAGTCCAATATATCATGTTGGAATTCATTTTGTATTGAATTATGTCTTACTTCCGGTCAACACATCAGAGGAATACAATATTATACCTACTCTAGTATTAGTTATGGAATATGAACTTAATGTAAACGTGTATGTAATACAGCGGTTATTTTCATTGAACGCTTTTCGCGCTGAACATATTGCGGTAAAATACGTGCTAATTGTGCTAATTGAAGTGTCTGTAGTTTGCTAAAAAAAACTTTGTAATTGCGTTTATTTGTCATGGCCCTTACTTACCAAAAAAATGAGTATTGCGCGAAACAGGCAATGAGGTATTTACACACATATAAACAAACTGGTTGTAAATGTAGTTTAAGTAGTTAAACATTTAAATTTTGCATGTAAATGTGAATCTGGTTATCTAAATCGCTTTGAAAGTGGATCTAACTTCAAGTTCCCGAAGGTTCTACATGACAAGTATGTGTAGATGGCCAGAAACAGGAACGGTAATCATGGTTACTAGTAACCTTCACGACACGCCTGATTTTAAAACAGGAGAGAGGGAGAACATGTGAAGATTTTGTTTTTCATTCATATGTTGCAATGTTTGCTTGAAAAGCTTGAAAGCTATGGACTTAGAATGAATATATGAAATGATACGGTATGCCTTATTTTGATAAACGTGGGAGTGTCAGCTAGCTCTAAAATATTACCTTTCTTAAGAGAGAGAATAAAAACGATGAGACGTATATATGTCTGCTCTATTTAGTTTTATTCATCTTCGGGCGTCGAAACACTTTTAAATATGAAACTTCTCTGCTATCGAATTATTTCATATTCCATTGAAGATCGCTTAATATTGTCCCTGTAAAATATATAAAACATGAATTAACATTTTCACCTATCCAATTACTAGATACCAAACAATTTCACCCATCCAATTATTAGGTACGAAACAAATTTCACCAATCAAATTATTAGATACAAGGGATAGTGAAACATGTCTTTTGAACTTTTATATATGCGGTTACAAATAAGTTTCAAAAACATTTAATACTGAATTCATGTAATTCGTATCAAAGTTTTCCCCATATAAACAAATTACATACTTTTATAAAGGATAGTCGTGCTATGATATATTAACGATTAAATCCAACAAAAGTGATATCTACAACATGGAAGGTATATAGAGATTCAACTCTTCTTTCAATCTATCACGAAATATAAACATTAACAGCCAATATTTTTGTCTTTCTTGGCCCCAAATTCTAGATTTTAAAATTCATTATTAAGCTTGAAAATCACTGTTTTTCAAATTACGGTTATCTCCCTTATATCATAGTTCCAGCTATGGTTGCCGAGGTCACCACTTCAAGTTTGCATAAATTAGAAAAGTATGAACATTATGTCATTTTCCCAATTTTTTAGAATAAAAATGACCCAAACCACATAGTCGTCCGAATTTTGTTGTACTTACGTTAATGGGAAAGTAATTAGGACTCTGAAAAATGAAATTAGAAATGTATCAATTCCTGTATTGTTGAATATGTACAAGCAATAATTTGCTAGTACTTATTTAATGTAAATAATTTGACCAAGAAGAACAAATAAATGCTAAATGAACCAATTACTTAGAAAATCAAAACTACCAAAGGAAAATAAGATGGAATAGAAACAAGAGGCAAAGGGGCCATAACGGTCACCTGAGTGAACTCACAAACTGAAACAACTGGAATGAATTTGAAGTATAGAGAAGAGGGACTCAATACTTCTATTTGTACAGGGTCGGAAGAATTTTAATTTAAGACACTTCTATCAGCGAGGAGCATTAGATTACACAACATTTGGTTATTGAGAAGAAGATTTTTGAAATTTCAGTTGATTTGACCCCTTTTTGACCCCGCCCGTCAGCCAGGGTCAATACGTGCATAGCACCAAACTGTCGTTTTCAAATATGTTATTTTCCTATATAAACTATAGTAAACTTTACCCCATCCCGATGGTGAAAGGTGAGACCTAGGACCATAAATTTACAACTTTGGTAAAGTACCTTCAGACTCGTCCATCCATGAAGAACATTTGATTCTATATATTAGGATATTGAGAAGAAGATTTTAGATTTAAGTCAATTTCACCATTTTTGACTCCGCCCTCAGACCCAAGAAGGACGTGAACTATAAATGTTTTCATCTCAGGTGACCTCAAATCTTAAGAATAGATTGGAAAACACTACTACAACCTGAAAGACAAAGCAGGGAATATCACAGGACTACCGATATAGGTAACTAAATACCCAGGTGTGCCCCTTCAATGACAAACAGCCCTGTCCGTATATCAGATTGTACACACAACAATGTCTGTATATCAAAATCATCATTAAAATCTGTCCCTATGTTGATACATATACATGGCCCTGTCCTTATATCAAATTGTACACACAACAATGTCTGTATATCAAAATCATCATTAAAATCTGTCCCTATGTTGATACATATACATGGCCCTGTCCTTATATCAAATTGTACACACAACAATGTCTGTATATCAAAATCATCATTAAAATCTGTCCCTATGTTGATACATATACATGGCCCTGTCCTTATATCAAATTGTACACACAACAATGTCTGTATATCAAAATCATCATTAAAATCTGTCCCTATGTTGATACATATACATGGCCCTGTCCGTATATCAAATTGTACACACAACAATGTCTGTATATCAAAATAAACAATTCGGTCCCTATATCAGGTAATACACAAAACGAGAAAATCCCTGTAACGAATAATGAATTTAATTTCTGAAACCATTCACTACAAATACTGTGGAGGTTAGTCGGTCAAAAGTTGGAGAGAAAAAAAATTGTTCTTTTCATGATTTTTTGAAAACAGAAATATAAGTATATGTTGGTGATTTTTTCACTACAAGAAACAGATTATGTTGCATATGAAATATTCGTGTTCACTATTCATTCTCTATTACATGCATTGATATGTTAAAGTAATTTTCCCCAACAAGTTTCCTCTTTTATTTTACGAACTAGAAACTGGAACTAAAAATGAACTCTAGAAAATATGAAGCAAATCACTAAGATCAAGAAACAAAGTAAAACACTGATAAATGTATCATATCCAGTCGGGATTCACGAATTTCTTGTGACCACAATAAATGCCCTTTTTTTAAAATTCTGTCTACTATTTAAAAACTTTATTCAAAATATATACCTTACCAACGGAAAAAGGTTGAAATTACGAATCACGACATCAACTTAACCGTTTCACAATGTAATAATTATGGAAAACATCAACAAAACGTCTACAAAACATCTTGCTAAGTACTCCATGTTATGGAATACATAACAATGAAAATTAAAAGGCACGCGAGATTCCAAGATACGCTGGAATTCATTTCGTATTGAATTTTGTTCTACTTGTAGTTAAACTGACTTTCCTACATCCTTTCGTTAAATTTGTGTTGTATGACATTTTACCATATACATACAAAACACTATTTTATTGATGAATGCACAATATTTTTCGCTTTAAAATGTTAATACATGTTCGCTTTATGAGTTGGATTATATCAAAGTCTTAAGTAGGTGACAATATTTCATGCATATTTTACAGATTAAATCGTCTATGATTAGGTATAAACATATCTTAATTATAAATTTATATTAACGCAACACTTCAAATACAGTTATAAGATATTTAATTTGTATTGTATGATATCTTACCCCATATGCAACAGGGGCGCTAAATCCCGGCATCTGGAATAAATAAATATTTACAGTCAAGAAAACAGGCAAACGAACAGGAACTATACCCTGCCAACGTGTTAATAATGTAATTTTTATATAAATCGGGCTTCACAGGAAAAAGTCATTGCTTATTCAATAAGAATGAATGCAATCCATGTTGCTATTCACGTTTGAAATATATATTACAAAATATGATTATGCAAATAATTTATTTTTGTAAATAAGCTGTGAGCTGTTTAGCATCTTTTGAATATAAGTCCTCCTTTTGCCTCTTACTAGATCCAAATATTTATTCGGATAGAACAGACATTACACAGGGGATATTTTCATTTAACTATGACTCATCAACTATGCTTACGGACTGAATATGTCTTTTAAAACGAATGTCTTATCTTTTATCTATTCTATCAGACTATCAAGACAACTATGCATATCATCATAATCATAGGACGAATGCCGTTTAACACTGGATATTTTTTGCTGTGCATATAAATTATGATTATAGTCCGTTTATATTTCTCGCACTGTTACAAAACAATTGTCTGAATTTATCGGGAATAATCCTCTCTTGAGTTTGTATCTATAAACTGGAAATATAACATTTATATGTTAATACTATAATTAGCTTTCGTATCTGTCTACACCATCAATCAAATGTAACAATAACCAGGAATAATATAATAAAATTTACCAAACTGAATATTAAACACAAGTTTAATCAATGTTATAAAATAAGCACGCTTTATCAGACAAAATAAATTCTTTTTCTGAATAGCTTCCCAAGAATCAACTGAGGTATCATTGGTGTAATTCAGCATTTTCTACATTAACAATAGTGAAAGTTTCATCTTAATCAACATTTAAACGTGACATGTCATTCTATTTATTTATTAATTGTTATTTTTGTCGTTCCCGTAGTAATGATTTTTATCATCATCTGCAAAGAAAATCGTATTGTCTTCTTTACAGAGATGTTAATGCCAAAAAATTAAGCACATGTTTCTACACTAGAATAGTTCTCACAATTCCTTGTTGGCCAGCATTAAACACACCAGCACCAGCCTTCAAATATAAAGCGTGTAGACTTACAATGATATAAATTTTCAGCAAATATCGGTCAGTCAACAATAACAAAAACACTATTTTAGCAATGAATAAACAATATTTTTCGCTTATAAAATGCTATTACATGTTCGCTTTATGAGTTGGATTATTTCAAAGTCTAAGATATGTGACAATATTTCACGCATACTTTACAGGTTAAATCGTATATGATTAGATATAAAGATATTTTAGTTATAAATTTATATTAAAGCACACTTCAATTACAGTTATAAGATATTTAATTTGTATTGTATGACATCTTACCGAATATACAGCAGGGGAGTTATATCCCGTCATCTGAAATAAATAAATATTTTCATTCAAGAAAACAGAAAAAATGCAAAAGGCAAACAAAAAGGAACTATACCCTTCCAACGTGTTACTTTCGATCTGCTTATTAATAACCATCATTGCCTTCAGCACTTTTATCATTTTTTTCCTTCTGCTATTATGTACATACGTACATGTCCATAGCCCAAGCAATATTCAAACTATACATGTATTAACTTAACATTACATATGTTTCTATATATATATATATATATATATATATATAATACTAATAATAATAATAACCAGAGACATATGTAATGTTAAGTTAATACTTATATATATATATATATATATATATATATATATATATAATGTAATTATTTTATAAATCGGGCTTCACAGGAAAAAGTCATTGCTTATTCAGTAAGAATGAATGCAATCCATGTTGCTATTCACGTTTGAAATATATATTACAAAATATGATTATGCAAATAATTTATTTTTGTAAATAAGCTGTGAGCTGTTTAGCATCTTTTGAATATAAGTCCTCCTTTTGCCTCTTACTAGATCCAAACATTTATTCGGATAGAACAGACATTACACAGGGGATATTTTCATTTAACTATGACTCATCAACTATGCTTACGGACTGAATATGTCTTTTAAAACGAATGTCTTATCTTTTATCTATTCTATTAGACTATCAAGACAACTATGCATATCATCATAATCATAGGACGAATGCCGTTTAACACTGGATATTTTTTGCTGTGCATATAAATTATGATTATAGTCCGTTTATATTTCTCGCACTGTTACAAAACAATTGTCTGAATTTATCGGGAATAATCCTCTCTTGAGTTTGTATCTATAAACTGGAAATATAACATTTATATGTTAATACTATAATTAGCTTTCGTATCTGTCTACACCATCAATCAAATGTAACAATAACCAGGAATAATATAATAAAATTTACCAAACTGAATATTAAACACAAGTTTAATCAATGTTATAAAATAAGCACGCTTTATCAGACAAAATAAATTCTTTTTCTGAATAGCTTCCCAAGAATCAACTGAGGTATCATTGGTGTAATTCAGCATTTTCTACATTAACAATAGTGAAAGTTTCATCTTAATCAACATTTAAACGTGACATGTCATTCTATTTATTTATTAATTGTTATTTTTGTCGTTCCCGTAGTAATGACTTTTATCATCATCTGCCAAGAAAATCGTATTGTCTTCTTTACAGAGATGTTAATGCCAAAAAATTAAGCACATGTTTCTACACTAGAATAGTTCTCACAATTCCTTGTTGGCCAGCATTAAACGCACCAGCACCAGCCTTCAAATATAAAGCGTGTAGACTTACAATGATATAAATTTTCAGCAAATATCGGTCAGTCAACATTAACAAAAACACTATTTTAGTAATGAATACACAATATTTTTCACTTTTAAATGCTAATACATGTTTGCTTTATGAGTTGGATTATTTCAAAGTCTAATATATGTGACAATATTTCATGCATATTTCACAGATTAAATCGTCTACGATTAGGTATAAAGATATTTCAATTATAAATTTATATAAAAGCAACATTTTAAGTACAGTTATAAGTTATTATTGTAAGTAAACAGACGAAAGAAGTATTACAAAATAAGTTAGACACAATTGTATATAAGCGAAAATTAAATATTCCAATGATTATATGTATAATAGTGTGGTTTGGAGCAAATGTCATACAGCAAAATAGTGACTACGGCGCTCTACTTCCGTAAATAAAACAATGTTATCCTATCCAGCCACACTTGCTTTTCATAATATGTTAACAAATTATCATTAAACTGATTTTATATCTATCTTGTCTTAACTTATCACGATTTTCATGCAAGAAGTCGTCAACTGAGGGACAAATTGTTAAAACGAAATTTCAAAAGATGCAGTGTGATGAAAATTATGGAGATGTTTTCGCCAAAGTGATCTCATTGAGATACATTTTATTTCCTTGTGCGATGTGAAACTGGATGTGTTTGATGCTCCATTGTTGTATGTCTTGTTCTCATTTGAGAACGTGACATTACTTATTTGGATTGACCGAAATTTACATGGCGGGTGCCGTTAATGAAGCAGAAGATGCTTACTCTTCCGGAAATCATGGTCTTATTTTCCGTGTGTTTTTTCAAGAGACCCTGTGTAAATCCTTCCTTTGTTCATACTCCGCCATAGGTTTATGGAATCTGAGTTTGGATTACGATTACATTGCCATATTGGTATATTCTTGATGTTTTAAATACAACCTTATCTATAATATATAACGTGTGACCAATGATACCTTCAGGATTTTAAACCATGTTGCAATGAAGCACAATGTATCGTCCTTTCTAGCCAATATAAAGAAAAAAGAAAAAATATATATCAAATCCATATTTACTTTGATTCCAGTGTGTCTTTCCAATGGTTTGTTTTGAATTTCTTTTTAACGTTCTTTCAAAATGCACCTCAATCATAGAGCTATAAAACTTTTTGATTTGTGCAAAACGTTCGTATTGACTGCATGCGATATTCTAAAACTTGTCTCTGCTTGGAGATACTAAAAAACACTACAATACAATTGACAATACGACAAGTGAGACCAGATAACACTACCATGTTATCGACAATAGGAAAAGTGTGGCTAGAAATCATCACAATACTACTGACAACACGATAAGTGACACTAGAGAATAATACATTTATTGGCAATACGACTAGTGAGACTAGAGAACACTACAATACCATTGACAATACAAGTTTAACTTGTTCGATATAGCTTCAATTTACAGTACAAAGTCAGTTGCAGAAGTTAAGACGTTTTATTACTTACGAATCCGGGGCCAGCTGCCTGCAAAAATAAAAAAAAATCACTACTTGAAGTAATTTCTACAATAAAATTAGGACCAAATTTTACAACGGATGTTATTTGAAAAGAAACCAAAAAACTATTATCAATACGTCACTGTGATCAGAAAACACCACAATACTATTTACAATATAAGTGAGGCTAGTAAAGTCCACAATATTATTGACAATAGGACAAGCGTTTCTAAAACTCCACATTACAGTTTAAAATACAAGTGTTGCAAGAAAGATCACAAAAAGATTTTTTAAAAAAAACCGACATGTATCGCTTGTTAAAAACACAATACTATTGACAATACGACAAGTTTAAAACTGAAGATGTTTTGCTGTGCATTTAAATTATGATTATAGTCCGTTTATATTTCTCGCACTGTTACAAAACATTTGTCTGAATTTATCGGTAATAATCCTCTCTTGAGTTTGTATCTATAAACTGGAAATATAACATTTATATGTTAATACTACAATTAGCTTTTGTATCTGTCTACACCATCAATCAAATGTAACAATAACCAGGAATAATATAATAAAATTTACCAAACTGAATATTAAACACAAGTTTAATCAATGTTATAAAATAAGCACGCTTTATAAGATAAAATCAATTCCTTTTTCTGAATAACTTCCCAAGATTCAACTTAAGTGTAATGCAGGCGTAATGATAAGGTATCATTAGTGTTATTCATCATTTTCTACATTAACAATGATTATATGTATAATAGTGTGGTTTGGAGCAAATGTCATACAGCAAAATAGTGACTATGGCGCTCTACTTCCGTAAATAAAACAATGTTATCCTATCCAGCCACACTTGCTTTTCATAATATGTTAACAAATTATCATTAAACTGATTTTATATCTATCTTGTCTTAACTTATCACGATTTTCATGCAAGAAGTCGTCAACTGAGGGACAAATTGTTAAAACGAAATTTCAAAAGATGCAGTGTGATGAAAATTATGGAGATGTTTTCGCCAAAGTGATCTCATTGAGATACATTTTATTTCCTTGTGCGATGTGAAACTGGATGTGTTTGATGCTCCATTGTTGTATGTCTTGTTCTCATTTGAGAACGTGACATTACTTATTTGGATTGACCGAAATTTACATGGCGGGTGCCGTTAATGAAGCAGAAGATGCTTACTCTTCCGGAAATCATGGTCTTATTTTCCGTGTGTTTTTTCAAGAGACCCTGTGTAAATCCTTCCTTTGTTCATATTCCGCCATAGGTTTATGGAATCTGAGTTTGGATTACGATTACATTGCCATATTGGTATATTCTTGATGTTTTAAATACAACCTTATCTATAATATATAACGTGTGACCAATGATACCTTCAGGATTTTAAACCATGTTGCAATGAAGCACAATGTATCGTCCTTTCTAGCCAATATAAAGAAAAAAGAAAAAATATATATCAAATCCATATTTACTTTGATTCCAGTGTGTCTTTCCAATGGTTTGTTTTGAATTTCTTTTTAACGTTCTTTCAAAATGCACCTCAATCATAGAGCTATAAAACTTTTTGATTTGTGCAAAACGTTCGTATTGACTGCATGCGATATTCTAAAACTTGTCTCTGTTTGAAAATCGAAAATGATCTTGTCATATTTCCATGTGAAATGGTCATGGCGTGTAATTTCCTATTAATTTTCTGGTCAGATTGTTCTGGTTTATGTATGATTAAACATGTACTTACGTAATCTCCGATTAGTTCCTGAAACAAGATATTTTGTACATAAGTGTAAGTAATTTCTACAATAGCAATAGGACTAATTTTGACAACGAGGGTTGTTTAAAAACGAACCAAACAAATATCAATAATACATCAAGTGTGATCAGAAAACACCAAAATATTATTTACAATGTAAGTGTGGCTAGAAAAGACCACAATATTATTGACAATAGGACAGGCGTTTCCACAACTTCACAATACAGTTTAAAATACAATTGTTGCTGGAAAGATCACAAAAAGATTGAAAAAAAAACAATACTATTAACAATACGACAAGTGAGACTAGAGAACAATACAAATACTATTGCCAATACGACTAGTGAAACTAGATGATAATGCAATACTATTGACAATACATGTTTAACTTGTTCGATATAACTTTAATTTACAGTACAAAGTCAATTACAGAAGTTAAAACGTTTTGTTACTTACAAGTCCGGAGCCAGCTGCCTGCTAGAATAATAAAAAAAAATCTTTGTATTGACTGCATGCGATATTCTAAAACTTGTCTCTGTTTGGAGATACTAAAAAACACTACAATACAATTGACAATACGACAAGTGAGACCAGATAACACTACCATGTTATCGACAATAGGAAAAGTGTGGCTAGAAATCATCACAATACTACTGACAACACGATAAGTGACACTAGAGAATAATACATTTATTGGCAATACGACTAGTGAGACTAGAGAACGCTACAATACTATTGACAATACAAGTTTAACTTGTTCGATATAGCTTCAATTTACAGTACAAAGTCAGTTGCAGTAGTTAAGACGTTTTATTACTTACGAATCCGGCGCCACCTGCCTGCAAAAATGAAAGAAAAAAGCCTTCATCACTTGTAGTAATTTCTACAATAAAATTAGGACCAACTTTTACAACGGATGTTATTTGAAAAGAAACCAAATACTATTATCAATACGTCACGGTGATCACAAAACACCACAATACTATTTACGATATAAGTGAGGCTAGTAAAGACCACAATATTATTGACAATAGGACAAGCGTTTCTAAAACTCCACAATACAGTTTAAAAATACAAGTGTTGCTGGAAAGATCACAAAAAGATTGAAAAAAAACGACATGTATGGCTTGATAAAAAAAAACAATACTATTAACAATACGACAAGTGAGACTAGAGAACAATACAAATACTATTGCCAATACGACTAGTGAAACTAGATAATAATGCAATATTATTGACAATACATGTTTAACTTGTTCGATATAGCTTCAATTTACAGTACAAAGTCAGTTGCAGAAGTTAAGACGTTTTATTACTTACGAATCCAGCGCCACCTGCCTGCAAAAATGAAAGAAAAAAGCCTTCATCACTTGTAGTAATTTCTACCATAAAATTAGGACCAACTTTTACAACGGATGTTATTTGAAAAGAAACCAAAATACTATTATCAATACGTCACTGTGATCAGAAAGCACCACAATACTATTTACAATATAAGTGAGGCTAGTAAAGACCACAATATTATTGACAATAGGACAAGCGTTTCTAAAACTCCACAATACAGTTTAAAAATATAAGTGTTGCGAGAAAGATCACAAAACTATTGAAAACATGACAAGTATGGCTTGAAAAAAATCACAATTCTATTGACAATACTACAAGTGAGATTAGAGAACACTACAATACTATGAACAATACGACATTGTTCGATATAGCTTCAATTTAAAGTACAAAGTCAGTTGCAGAAGTTAAGACGTTTTATTACTTACAAGTGCGGGGCCAGCTGCCTGCAAAAATAAAAAAAAATCATTACTTGTAGTAATTTCTACAATAACATTAGGACCAACTTTTACAACGGATATAATATAAGTGATAATATAAGTGAGGCTAGTAAAGACCACAATATTATTGACAATAGGACAAGCGTTTCTAAAACTCCACAATACAGTTTAAAAATATAAGTGTTGCTGGAAAGATCACAAAAAGATTGAAAAAAAACGACATGTATGGCTTGATAAAAAACAATACTATTAACAATACGACAAGTGAGACTAGAGAACAATACAAATACTATTGCCAATACGACTAGTGAAACTAGATAATAATGCAATACTATTGACAATACATGTTTAACTTGTTCGATATAGCTTCAATTTACAGTACAATGTCAGTTGCAGAAGTTAAGACGTTTTGTTACTTACAAGTGCGGGGCCAGCTGCCTGCAAATATAAAAAAAAATCATTACTTGTAGTAATTTCTACAATAACATTAGGACCAACTTTTGCAACGGATGTTATTTGAAAAGAAACCAAATACTATTATTAATACGTCACTGTGATCAGAAAACACCACAATACTATTTATAATATAAGTGAGGCTAGTAAAGACCACAATATTATTGACAATAGGACAAGCGTTTCTAAAACTCCACAATACAGTTTAAAAATACAAGTGTTGCTGGAAAGATCACAAAAAGATTGAAAAAAAACGACATGTATGGCTTGATAAAAAACAATACTATTAACAATACGACAAGTGAGACTAGAGAACAATACAAATACTATTGCCAATACGACTAGTGAAACTAGATAATAATGCAATACTATTGACAATACATGTTTAACTTGTTCGATATAGCTTCAATTTACAGTACAATGTCAGTTGCAGAAGTTAAGACGTTTTACTTACGAATCCGGCGCCACCTGCCTGTAAAAATTAAAGAAAAAAGCCTTCATCACTTGTAGTAATTTCTACAATAACATTAGGACCAACTTTTACAACGAGAGGTATTTGAAAAGAAACCAAAATACTATTTACAATACGTCAAGTGTGATCAGAAAACACCACAATATTATTTACAATTGAAGTGTGGCTAGAAAAGACCACAATATCATTGACAATAGGACAAGCGTTTCATAAACTCCACAATACATTTTAAAATACAAGTGTTGCTAAAAAGATCACAAAACCATTGAAAACACGACAAGTATGGCTTGAAAAAAAATCACAATACTATTGACAATACGACAATTGAGACTATAGAACATTACAATACTATGGACAATACGACATGTGAGACTAGAGAACAATAAAATACTATTGACAACACGACAGGTGAGACTAGAGAACAATACAATGCTATTGACAACACGACAAGTGAGACTAGATAATACTACAATACAATGCAAGTTTAACTTGTCCGATATAGCTTCTTTTACAGTAAAAAGTCACTATAAAGAGAGGACTAAAATAGGCAATTCCTGATTTTCAATCCTATTGACATTTGTTTTTGATGTTAAAATGAGATTTGTTAAATAACCATAGCATTTCATGCTTAAGAGCTAATTAAGTTAAACAATGATGTAAAGAATAAGATAAGGTTAGTCTAATACAGCGAGTAACATAATAATTGTTTTCTATTAAAAGTTGCACGCAATTATAAAACATTGGCAACCAATCATAATGATATTTAGATACGTATTTAAATAATGATCCTTTTTTGAGTTTATGGCAATAGCGATTAACAAAGATTGATCTTATTATAACTTGATTAAAGAAGTTGAACTGACCACATGGGGACATTGTACATTATTTACATGTCGAAATGTATATTATCTTCAATCCAACTCAAGTTGTCTGCTTCCTCCGACCGACATATTGGGTAACTGCTCGTTTGAAAGAGTCAGTATTGCAAATACTCTAAACGATCACGAAATAAACTTAATCTAACCTAATTTTACTAATTTGTTTTCTCTCTCAATCACTTTAATTAATTTAAACAAATTTCTTTTTTACTTTTCGTATGAAAACACTATTTGGGGAGTATTCTAGTTCCGAATTCAAGCTTAAGCATCGTCTGCTTTCTGGCTTGTGGTCAATGTCATACGTACTTATGACGTAACAACATTGCGACGTCCATATGGAACAGTGCATCGGCAACAAATGTTTATTGATCAGAGAAAGTTTCAGTTCATAGAACTAGAAAATGTGTTATGTAATGGCGTCGTATGCATTGTGACAACATTATAGAAAACGAAAGTATCGCTAAACCCGACTGTGTATCAGTCTAATATGATCCTATTGTAATGTTATGTGATTAACAGAATCTTATATTCGTTTCCGTTTTCACCATTCATCTTTCATAGATCATTTGAAAAGTCTCGATGAAAATGAAAGCTACAAGACCCGCTTCATAAATATCATCTAAATAGAATATCATACAAGATCATCTTTATACAATAAAAACTTGAAATGTGCCATTTTTGAGATTTTAGTTTTTGTGATGCAGGCCGAAATCCCGATAGATCTGATATCTTAGCGTACCATTGCTGGGTGGTCTGCATACGAAGAGGACAGAAAACAAGAAAAAACAAGGAAATGAAATACACTCAATTATTACTAATATCGATAAATAAAACGCTGGTTTTAATACTGAAATCCGTAGTCAGTAAGTGCAGTTCGTGGTGATAACCAGGCAACCCGACAGAAAATACTAGTTTTAGCAACAGTCATCTAGACATTTGATAAGTGCCTGTAATATCCAAACTCATTCATGTTATCGTGAAACAACCCTTATGTAAATACGGAGCCTACAGTTGTTGTAAATGTAAAAATAAAAGTTCAATCACTAACGACAATTTCATTGACACTTGACACGAAAACGAAAGTATCGCTAAACCCGACTGTGTATCAGTCTAATATGATCCTATTGTAATGTTGTGTGATTAACAGAATCTTATATTCGTTTCCGTTTTCACCATTCATCTTTCATAGATCATTTGAAAAGTCTCGATGAAAATGAAATCTCCGAGACCCGCTTCATAAATATCATCTAAATAGAATATCATACAAGATCATCTTTATACAATAAAAACTTGAAATGTACAAATAAAAGTTCAATCACTAACGACAATTTCATTGACACTTCAATAAATACGTAATCTACATTTGTAAAAAAGCAATCGTTAACAACAAGCTCTTTGATAGGCGATAATACGCAATCAAAGTTAGAAATACTGCACTTTGATATCGGATTTCAATTCAAGACGAAAAAGCAAACATAATAGCATATAATCGTGTGAGTATTAATTTAGACCAGTATTACTGTTTTCACCGATCACCTCTAGAAAGATTCGGAACACGTAATAATGTCGTACAGGTCATAAAGCAGGGAATCGCATTCATATACTTACAATAGCTGGTGCAGAGGAGTAAAAACTGTTGCCCTGAAAGCATAAACAAAAACAGATATACAACAGTCCTGTAAGATTTGTGTTTTTCCCGTTGAAGAAATTTACATGGTGTTCTTTACAACATTGACATGGTATGTTTTACATGCCATAACTGATCGACAACATCGATTATTGAAGTATTTTAGAAAAGTCAACACATTTACTTCCTCTTTATCAATATCAGAAAACCTTAATGTGGTCTGCATATGATAATATCAAAGAAAACATTTAGTGTGGCAATGTGGCTTGCTTGAGCTTACACGATTGACAGAACGCTCCGTTTTCCCGTCTCGGATTATGTTGTTTCGCTATTTAAATGCAATAGTTCTTTACGGTTCTTAACTTTTTGATTCTATTAAGCTAACACGAGAACATTCGGTGAGCTAAGAGAGAGTATAGTATGCAGAGGAGACTAACCAATAACCAAAATAAAATTCGACATCTTAAAGTAGCGACCACAGAGTGTTTGATTTCGTAAGAGGAGCTTGCTCAGTGTATACGTGCAGAAATATTATTATATAATTCAACACAAAGCGCATTTAAACGCTAACTGTTGGTACAGAAGACGTGTTAAAAAAAAGAAAAAGAAAAGAGATACAGAGTATTTGGAAGATGTTTTTAAACTATGCTAAGGTTGTATGTTTACATAGAGGATAGATTTGAAATGGGAATGGAATTACTCTTGACGTGATCAATAAAGCCATTTGAGGCGGCGATAGTACCTCAATAGACAGAGCCGAGTATGATTTCTGTATTTAAAACATTCTTTCACAATAAATCTCATTTAATGAGCATAAATTAATTTAAGATTTCAGCAAATATAATGAATGTTTAGATACTTCAATAATTCTTTAAATAATAAAGAAGCTGTCATTCAATTCGTCGTCACAAACAATCTCTACAGTACAAAACAATACTACAGTCGTCACAAACAATACTACAGTCGTCACAAACAATACTACAGTCGTCACAAACAATAATACAGTCGTCACAAACAATAATACAGTCGTCACAAACAATCTCTACAGTCGTCACAAACAATACTACAGTCGTCACAAACAATACTACAGTCGTCACAAACAATCTCTACAGTCGTCACAAACAACCTCTACAGTCACAAACAACCTCTACAGTCACAAACAACCTCTACAGTCACAAACAATCTCTACAGTCACAAACAATACTACAGTCGTCACAAACAATACTACAGTCGTCACAAACAATCTCTACAGTCGTCACAAACAATACTACAGTCGTCACAAACAATACTACAGTCGTCACAAACAATACAAACAATCTCTACAGTCGTCACAAACAATCTCTACAGTCGTCACAAACAATACTACAGTCGTCACAAACAATCTCTACAGTCGTCACAAACAATACTACAGTCGTCACAAACAATCTCTACAGTCGTCACAAACAATACTACAGTCGTCACAAACAATCTCTACAGTCGTCACAAACAATACTACAGTCGTCACAAACAATACTACAGTCGTCACAAACAATCTCTACAGTCGTCACAAACAATCTCTACAGTCGTCACAAACAATCTCTACAGTCGTCACAAACAATCTCTACAGTCGTCACAAACAATACTACAGTCGTCACAAACAATACTACAGTCGTCACAAACAATCTCTACAGTCGTCACAAACAATCTACAGTCGTCACAAACAATCTACAGTCGTCACAAACAATCTCTACAGTCGTCACAAACAATCTCTACAGTCGTCACAAACAATCTCTACAGTCGTCACAAACAATACTACAGTCGTCACAAACAATACTACAGTCGTCACAAACAATCTCTACAGTCGTCACAAACAATCTCTACAGTCGTCACAAACAATACTACAGTCGTCACAAACAATCTCTACAGTCGTCACAAACAATCTCTACAGTCGTCACAAACAATACTACAGTCGTCACAAACAATACTACAGTCGTCACAAACAATCTCTACAGTCGTCACAAACAATCTCTACAGTCGTCACAAACAATCTACAAACAATCTCTACAGTCGTCAAAAACAATTCCTACAGTCGTCACAAACAATACTACAGTCGTCACAAAAAATCTCTACAGTCGTCACAAACAATCTCTACAGTCGTCACAAACAATCTCTACAGTCGTCACAAACAATCTCTACAGTCGTCACAAACAATCTCTACAGTCGTCACAAACAATACTACAGTCGTCACAAACAATCTCTACAGTCGTCACAAACAATCTCTACAGTCGTCACAAACAATCTCTACAGTCGTCACAAACAATCTCTACAGTCGTCACAAACAATCTCTACAGTCGTCACAAACAATCTACTACAGTCGTCACAAACAATCGTCACAAACAATACAGTCGTCACAAACAATCTCTACAGTCGTCACAAACAATCTCTACAGTCGTCACAAACAATCTCTACAGTCGTCACAAACAATCTCTACAGTCGTCACAAACAATCTCTACAGTCGTCACAAACAATCTCTACAGTCGTCACAAACAATCTCTACAGTCGTCACAAACAAACAGTCTCTACAGTCGTCACAAACAATCTCAAACAAACAATCTCTACTAATCGTCACAAACAAATCTACAAACAATCTCTACAGTCACAAAAATAAAGCTACATTTTGTCACAAACAATCTCTACAGTCGTCACAAACAATCTCTACAGTCGTCACAAACAATCTCTACAGTCGTCACAAACAATCTCTACAGTCGTCAAAAACAATTCCTACAGTCGTCACAAACAATAATACAGTCGTCACAAACAATCTCTACAGTCGTCACAAACAATCTCTACAGTTGTCAAAAACAATTCCTACAGTCGTCACAAACAATACTACAGTCGCCACAAACAAACCATGCAGTCGTCATAAACAATCTCTACAGTCGTCACAAACAATCTACAGTCGTCACAAACAATCATACTTTTCTAATATTTCAAAATTCTTCAGGTCACAAACAGTCTCTAAAGTAAAAACTGCACATCATTGGTAAATAAAGCTATCGATTTTGTCACTAAACGGTGTACTCGAATTCTTATTCTTATTCTATTAGCGAATAAAAATGCATCATTGAAACAGTTCCTGTGTCCTGTTCCCGTAATGCCTGTCTTTCATACTTTTCTAATATTTCAAAATTTGGATAAAATAAATGGAATAATAACTCTAATCAACAAAAACGTAATAAATGTTGTTTTGTAACTACCAGGATGTACTATTGTAATAATCACAAAGTATGATATTTGTTTAAATTAGTTTCCCCGCTGATTTACTACCCCAGGACAACATATTTCACTTACAGATGGTGCAGCAATGGTGCCGTATGATGCGTACTGCAATTACAAAGAAATACAATATTATCAATCAAATTGTTCTTAATTTAACTTTCTTTGTCCTCACTTAAGTAGTTTTGGTAATCAGTTAGTTGGCTAACAATCACCACTTTTATATAATTAGTCAGAAATCTCTAGTGAACCAGAACATACGAAAAAGCGGTATGGTCTATTTTACTGGAAAACCAGACTACATGTGATATAGGATACTGTATAAGATAACTAGACCACATGATATATAAGATATTGTACAAGATAACTAGACCACATGATATAAAGGATATTGTACAAGAGAACTAGACTACATGATATATAGGATATTGTACAAGATAATTAGACTACACGTGTATAGGATATTGTACAAGATAATTAGACTACATGATATATAGGATATTTTACAAGTGAACTATTGTATTACTCGCAAAGTATGATATTTGTTTAAATTAGTTTCCCCGCTGATTTACTACCCCAGGACAACATATTTCACTTACAGATGGTGCAGCTGACATGCCATGGGAGTATGATGCGTACTGCAATTACAAAGAAATACAATATCATCATTCAAATTGTTCTTAATTTAACTTTCTTTGTCCTCACTTAAGTAGTTTTGGTAATCAGTTAGTTGGCTAACAATCACCACTTTTATATAATTAGTCAGAAAACTCTAGTGAACCAGGCCATACGAAAATGCGGTATGGTCTATTTTACTAGAAAACCAGACTACATGTGATATAGGATATTGTAAAAGATAACTAGACAACATGATATATAGGATATTGCACAAGATAATTAGACTACATGATATATAGGATATTTTACAAGTGAACTATTGTATTACTCGCAAAGTATGATATTTGTTTAAATTAGTTTCCCCGCTGATTTACTACCCCAGAACAACATATTTCACTTACAGATGGTGCAGCAATGGTGCCGTATGATGCGTACTGCAATTACAAAGAAATACAATATTATCAATCAAATTGTTCTTAATTTAACTTTCTTTGTCCTCGCTTAAGTAATTTTGGTAATCAGTTAGTTGGCTAACAATCACCATTTTTATATAATTAGTCAGAAACCTCTAGTGAACCAGACCATACGAAAATGCGGTATGGTCTATTTTACTAGAAAAACAGACTACATGTGATATAGGATATTGTACAAGATAACTAGACAGCATGATATATAGGATATTGTACAAGATAATTAGACTACATGATATATAGGATATTTTACAAGTGAACTATTGTATTACTCGCAAAGTATGATATTTGTTTAAATTAGTTTCCCCGCTGATTTACTACCCCAGGACAACATATTTCACTTACAGATGGTGCAGCTGACATGCCATGGGAGTATGATGCGTACTGCAATTACAAAGAAATACAATATCATCATTCAAATTGTTCTTAATTTAACTTTCTTTGTCCTCACTTAAGTAGTTTTGGTAATCAGTTAGTTGGCTAACAATCACCACTTTTATATAATTAGTCAGAAAACTCTATTGAACCAGAACATACGAAAATGCGGTATGGTCTATTTTACTAGAAAACCAGACTACATGTGATATAGGATATTGTAAAAGATAACTAGACAACATGATATATAGGATATTGTACAAGATAACTAGACTACATGATATATAGGATATTTTACAAGTGAACTATTGTATTACTCGCAAAGTATGATATTTGTTTAAATTAGTTTCCCCGCTGATTTACTACCCCAGAACAACATATTTCACTTACAGATGGTGCAGCAATGTTGCCGTATGATGCGTACTGCAATTACAAAGAAATACAATATTATCAATCAAATTGTTCTTAATTTAACTTTCTTTGTCCTCGCTTAAGTAGTTTTGGTAATCAGTTAGTTGGCTAACAATCACCATTTTTATATAATTAGTCAGAAAACTCTAGTGAACCAGACCATACGAAAATGCGGTATGGTCTATTTTACTAGAAAACCAGACTACATGTGATATAGGATATTGTAAAAGATAACTAGACAACATGATATATAGGATATTGTACAAGATAACTAGACTACATGATATATAGGATATTTTACAAGTGAACTATATATAGTATTACTCGCAAAGTATGATATTTGTTTAAATTAGTTTCCCCGCTATATATACCCCAGGACAACATATTTCACTTACAGATATATAGGTGCAGCAATGGTGCCGTATGATATACTGCAATTACAAAGAAATACAATATTATCAATCAAATTGTTCTTAATTTAACTTTCTTTATATATAGGATATGTACTTTTGGTAATCAGTTAGTTGGCTAACAACCACCACATTTACGTAAGTCAGAAAACTAGAGAACCAGAACATACGAAAATGCGGTATGGTCTATTTTACTAGAAAACCAGACTACATGTGATATAGGATATTGTACAAGATAACTAGACCACATGATATATAGGATATTGTACAAGATAATTAGACCACGTTATATATAGGATATTGTACTAGATAACTAGACTACATGATATATAGGATATTGTACAAGATAATTAGACCACGTTATATATAGGATATTGTACTAGATTACTAGACCACATGATATATAGGATATTGTACAAGATAACTAGACCACATGATATATAGGATATTGTACAAGAGAACTAGACTACACGTGTATAGGATATTGTACAAGATAATTAGACCACGTTATATATAGGATATTGTACCAGATAACTAGACCACATAATATATAGGATATTGTACAAGATAATTAGACCACATGATATATAGGATATTGTACAAGATAATTAGACCACGTTATATATAGGATATTGTACAAGATAACTAGACCATATGATATATAGGATATTGTACAAGAGAACTAGACTACACGTGTATAGGATATTGTACAAGAGAACTAGACTACACGTGTATAGGATATTGTACAAGAGAACTAGACTACACATGTATAGGATATCTTACAAGATAACTTGACCACATGATATATAGGATATTGTACAAGATAACTAGACCACATGATATATAGGATATTGTACAAGAGAACTAGACTACACGTGTATAGGATATTGTACAAGAGAACTAGACTACACATGTATAGGATATCTTACAAGATAACTTGACCACATAATATATAGGATATTGTACAAGATAATTAGGCCACATGATATATAGGATATTTTCCAAGTGAACTATTGTATTACTCGCAAAGTATGATATTTGTTTAAATTAGTTTCCCCGCTGATTTGCTACCCCAAGACAACATATTTCACTTACAGATGGTGCAGCAATGGTGCCGTATGATGCGTACTGCAATTACAAAGAAATACAATATCATCATTCAAATTGTTCTTAATTTAACTTTCTTTGTCCTCACTTAAGTAGTTTTGGTAATCAGTTAGTTGGCTAACAATCACCACTTTTATATAATTAGTCAGAAAACTCTAGTGAACCAGAACATACGAAAATGCGGTATGGTCTATTTTACTAGAAAACCAGACTACACGTTAAATAGTTTTTTTTTAAATTTGAACTAGACTACATAAGGGATAGGATATTTTACAATTAAAAAAAATATATAACTTATAGGATATTGTACAAGATAACTAGATTACATGATATATTTGATATTGTACAAGATAATTAGACCACATGATATATAGGATATTGTACAAAATAACTAGACCACATGATATATAGGATATTGTACAAGTGAACTATTGTATTACTCGCAAAGTATGATATTTGTTTAAATTAGTTTCCCCGCTGATTTACTACCCCAAGCCAACATATTTCACTTACAGATGGTGCAGCTGACATGCCATGGGAGTATGATGCGTACTGCAATTACAAAGAAATACAATATTATCATTCAAATTGTTCTTAATTTAACCTTCTTTGTCCTCGCTCAAGTAATTTTGGTAATCAGTTAGTTGGCTAACAATCACCACTTTTATATAATTACTCAGAAAACTCTAGTGAACCAGACCATACGAAAATGCGGTATGGTCTATTTTACTAGAAAACCACACTACATGTGATATAGGATATTGTACAAGATAACTAGATAACATGATATATAGGATATTTTACAAGTGAACTATTGTATTACTCGCAAAGTATGATATTTGTTTAAATTAGTTTCCCCGCTGATTTGCTTCCCCAGGACAACACATTTCACTTACAGATGGTGCAGCAATGTTGCCGTATGATGCGTACTGCAATTACAAAGAAATACAATATTATCAATCAAATTGTTCTTAATTTAACTTTCTTTGTCCTCACTTAAGAAGTTTTGGTAATCAGTTAGTTGGCTAACAATCACCACATTTACGTAAGTCAGAAAACTAGTGAACCAGAACATACGAAAATGCGGTATGGTCTATTTTACTAGAAAACTAGACTACATGATATAAAGGATATTGTACAAGATAACTAGACTACATGATATATAGGATATCGTACAAGATAACTAGACCACATGATATATAGGATATTGTACAAGATAACTAGACTACATGATATATAGGATATTTTACAAGTGAACTATTGTATTACTCGCAAAGTATGATATTTGTTTAAATTAGTTTCCCCGCTGATTTACTACCCCAGGACAACATATTTCACTTACAGATGGTGCAGCAAAGGTGCCGTATGATGCGTACTGCAATTACAAAGAAATACAATATTATCAATCAAATTGTTCTTAATTTAACTTTCTTTGTCCTCACTTAAGTAGTTTTATATAATTAGTCAGAAATCTCTAGTGAACCAGAACATACGAAAAAGCGGTATGGTCTATTTTACTAGAAAACCAGACTACATGTGATATAGGATATTGTAAAAGATAACTAGACCACATGATATATAGGATATTGTACAAGATAACTAGACCACATGATATAAAGGATATTGTACAAGAGAACTAGACTACATGATATATAGGATATTGTACAAGATAATTAGACTACATGATATATAGGATATTTTACAAGTGAACTATTGTATTACTCGCAAAGTATGATATTTGTTTAAATTAGTTTCCCCGCTGATTTGCTACCCCAAGACAACATATTTCACTTACAGATGGTGCAGCTGACATGCCATGGGAGTATGATGCGTACTGCAATTACAAAGAAATCAAATATTATCATTCAAATTGTTCTTAATTTAACTTTCTTTGTCCTCACTTAAGTAGTTTTGGTAATCAGTTAGTTGGCTAACAATCACCACTTTTATATCATTAGTCAGAAAACTCTATTGAACCAGAACATACGAAAATGCGGTATGGTCTATTTTACTAGAAAACCAGACTACATGTGATTTAGGCTTTTTTTACATTTGATATTTTACTAACAATCAAGACTACATCATGTATGGGATAGTTTACTAACAATCTAGGCTACATCATGTATGGGACATTTTATTAACAATCTAGACCGCATGAGGTGTAAGATATTTTACTGACAATCTAGGCTACATCATGTATGGGATATTTTACTGACAATCTAGGCTACATCATGTATGGGATATTTTACTGACAATCTAGACCACATGAGGTGTAAGATATTTTACTGACAATCCAGACTTCATCATGTATGGGATATTTTACTAACAATCTAGACTACATCATGCATGGGATATTGTAATAACAATCTAGACCACATGAGGTGTAAGATATTGCAATAACAATTTAGACCACATGAGGTGTAAGATATTGCAATAACAATTTAGACCACATGAGGTGTAAGATATTCTACATTTATATAATATATTGTTAAACTAGTATAAAGAAGAAATACAACGATATATGTGTCTGGTATGTATGAATTACTGGTAGATATCGTAACAAAACATTTAATACCTAACTCGCTCGGTATTTGTTAAGATTCTCATTATAATTATATGTCTATAAATTAGAATGATCATCTACATGGTATGACTATGTCAAGCATTGAATGCTGACATACCGTGGAGGAACATTAAAGCTGCGATTCGCATTTTCTTTGACATTTAAGAAATATGTTTACAATTAATTTTATACCAAAATGAAAATCTAACACACAGACACTCATCGTTTTGTGTTTACTTGTATGTACACTGAATATCTTCTGCATTGGAAGGTTTAATATATAAAATACAGACGATAAATGAAATAATTCTGAGCAAAATAGGATTTATAAAACACTGAGAACCACGAACAAACATATCAGAAAACTTATCAAACACGCAAATAACTGAATTAGATTAAAAAAAACAAAACCGTGTCCATCGGAAAAAAGAATACATTTGAATCAAAAGCATGCAGAATATGAAACGAATACAAACAAGTATAAAAAGAGGTAACATACTGAACGAACCAGCCAAGCATGACTGAAACACTTAATAGGAATGACAACACAAAACAAACAAATAAAAACTTGTACAACACCAACACACCCGTACACATATACAAGAATATTATTTACCGTGGAAGGTGCGTTCTGAAAATAATAAGAAGTTGATATTATATTGCCTTTATATTGTATAGTACTTATATAAAACCAATGAATAGATAAATTGTGGACACATTTCTTGATATAAAGTATGCAGTAACGTATCAAGGTCTAGAATTTCAATTGGTATAATACATTTTTACTACAGCCATTTTAAAATAAATTGTAGGATATTTGCATTTAGATTAATAGCAATGTTTTGTTCGTTTGTTTATATTGCTTCTTCTTTTTTGATAATATGTGTTCAAAACTTACTATATTAGCGACAAAGCCATTAAGACTGCCGTAACCGTGTTGGCTAGCATAGCCGCCGTCATGGTACGTTGTTGGTGCGGTTGAGTATGATGTGTGGCCGGGAAAAACTCCATGGCTTATAGGGTTGGCGACGACGGTTCGTGTGTTTACGGTTGGTACATTGTATGTTCCCAGTGCGGAGGACACACAGATCAACAAGAGGATAGCGACCTTCATCTTTATCTTGCTAACACGATGTGTGAATCACTGAAAAATAACGAAAAACACATATTATATAAGTAACATAGCACAATATTTCTATGATATTAACGCTGTTCTCGGGTTGCCAAACTTATTACACGACATCATATTCAAGTGTACAACTGTAAGTGGAACACACCAAACACTTCTCACCACAAACAGGAAAAAAGACAGATATATACTACACGTTCCTGTCATTATTATGACGTCATAATGATATAGATCAACTAGAATATCCAACCATATCTCTATATGTAGGAGTATATTGGAGTGAAAATAATTCGTGAATTCTTCTTGGCGTTTAATTTGTGGAGGGAACTGAAGATTTAAAGATAGGTTCCGCATACAAGTCGTGACTCAAACTTTGTTGAAAAAAGGTTTTATCAACTAATTGATTGTAGAACAGATGGACCTCAAACATGCATTCAGTAATTAGAAAGTGAAAAGCTCAAGTGTAAAAGATTTGAATAAAGTTTTTTTTTATTTACCTCGTAATTGTGTCGTTTATACAGCTTGTAAGTAAATTCATCTTTCTGGCATAATGTAAGCTTAATTTCACATGGCGTCAACCAAGTACTTTCATGACATTTTTCAGGATTGAATATTGTTTTTGACCGTGGCTTTGAAAGATTATATAATTAACTATTACCTAATCCGCGTTTCTCTTAAATGAAAATAATTTTATATTTTTGTTGTACTATCAGTGAATTTAGAGTTCATACTTTTGTTGTGTTATAATAGTGTATATAGAGTTAATACTTTTGTTGTTAAATAATAGTGTATTTACAGTTCATACATTGACAGACAGAAAGTTTCTTTATTTCTTCCATGCAGAAATCGCATACCATGCCCTATTTTACAATTAATTATTGCGTTTCAATTAAATAAAGGTATAAATGGAATTAAGTGGTAAAATATTGAACAATCATTACTGCAATTGTTGACAGATTTACATGTTATTTACATGTTGACGTCATCAGATACGTCATCTAAGAGATTGTATATTAGTTCGCAAGAAGAAAGTTTACTTCATAAAGCATGTGTTCTACCCATCGTGCGACTCCAGTTGGCTGGGCATTGGATAAGAAAATGGTTTGTGGTGTTCGTTGTTGGTTTACAAATTACACTCTCTGTCACTGTCCTATAACAGAGCTTAACAAGCTCATCAACTGCCCGTGTCAGCTTTGGATACTTTAAGCTTAGCTTCCACAGAGAATTCGCGCTTTTATGAGGATGTATACGTCTATAATGTTCCAGAAGCACACTGTTATCACACCTATTCCACCACTAAGTGAAATAATACCGTTCGGTAACGTTCGTGATAAAACGCTTCCATTGCCCCGCGCTGCATTTCAAAGAAGAAAATTCTAATTTTGATAGTTCTTAGACTACTTAGCGGGTTGATGCCATTCTGGTGCATTCCAATATTTATAAGGCTATTAACAGTTGCACGCCCCTTTCTGCACGAATTAACATATCATTGTCGAGTTTAAGGATGGAACATAATGTTATTCCCATGTATACTTTTGATGTTTCCCAGAATATTGGAGTATTTCCTATATAACACTGAACCTCTGGTTCCTTTGGGGGAAGTTTCCGACAGGTAAACTGCATCAATAACGACTTTGATGAATTGCAGTTGAGTCTCCAAGTATTTGCATAACCGTGTACAATGTCTAACTGCAATTGGAGATTCCGGATTGAAGTTGCTAATAGTAAGTCTGCTAGGAAATCACAAGGGATATGTAGATTTTTAATGCTAAGTCCAAGACCGCTTACCTCAAATTTAGTTGCTAATCCATTAATCATGACGAGGAAGAGCCATGCAGTGAGAGTCCTTCCCTGACCGGCCCCTTGTTCAATAGGATACTCCTTACTCTTTTGTCCGTTGTATAATTCATAGGCTGTCACTCCATGAAACGAATCGTTTAGTATCTTCAAGAAGTTTCCGTTGAAGCCTAATTTGTATACCATGTACTGCAGTCCCTGTATCCAGACGCTGTTTAAGGCTTTTGCATTGTCAAGAAACACTGCGTTACGTTCCAGATAATGACATATCGACTCCTTTACAGTAAAAGCGGCTGTTATACTGCCACATTGAGGCCGGAAGCCTTGTTGAAATTTGTGCGGAAATTCAATTTTTGAACAACGCTTCACTTTTCGCCTATACATAATCTTCTCAAGAAGTTTTTGCAGCACTGATGTTAAAGTGATATCCCTGTAATTATTCATGTCCACTTTATTTATTTTCCCTCCTTTAAATAGTGTTATAAAAATTCCCTTTTTTAAAAATGCCTTGGGTACACCTCCAAATCAAAAATAGTATTGAAGAGCATAACTATTACTTTTTTAAACAACATCCTTCCATGACGGATATGTTCTATAACTATTTGGTCGTGCCCACCAGCTTTTCCATTTTTCATATCTCTGATCGCTTCATCCAACTCATCCACTTCTACGCGATTCATGCAAACCGTATTCTGATTATCGAAACTTTGCTCATACATTCCATCAATGCTGCGTTCGACTTCCTCTTTGAATATGGAATCAAAATGAGGTTTTATCCCCGGCTTTGCTTAATCCTGATAATGTTCTTTTCATGCTTTCTTGTTGGTATCCGGATCTTTTCTTTACAACTTTATAAAAAGTTGCAACGTCTACTTCAGCTGTGTCAGCAACTATTTAAATTGCTCCTGATCATATTGATCTTTCGTCTTATCCAAAGCTGTTCGCAATTCGCGATTTGCTCTTCTTTACACACTGAAAGACTCCAAAGAGTGTCCTCTTGGGCGTCCCTGTTGTATCCAGTAAGCACAATATCGCCTCATAATATCATGGCGATCCTTAACATTGCTGTAGTTCCAGTAAGGCTTAAGGAATGGACAATATAGCTTAAGTGGCAACGAAGCATTCGCAGCCTCACGAATTGCTGCCGTAGTATATTGTACTAATGATTCAAGCTGTTCTTTATGCATTCTAGATCATCTTTTGTAATTAAGTATTTTTCCCAGTGTCTCATTTAGCCTGGTCTCGTATACCATCTTCTCTTCGCCGGTTGCCTTTCTCCAATTAACTGCTCGTGACATTTTAGATTGTTGGTGAGGGGAAAACAATATCTCATAAGAAACTGTAACTGGCAAATGATCTGATACATTAAGGAAGTGGTCATCATGTATTACACAAGATCCTCACCAAATCACACTTTCTCCTGTCGATGAGAATATATAAATGTTTCCAGTAAAGTGCCTCTTTCGCTAGCGTGCCCGTGACTTTTAATACCAAACTTCTTTGAAATGTGGCCATTTAAGTTACCGAGAATGATAGTCTCCCTTGCTCACGATATCGGTCGAACTAATCGGAGACATTCAAGAGTGTCTTTGTGTTCGAAAATTGGACGATTTGTAGATGGTAGGAGATCTCCGATCACAAACAGATATGATTTATCTTGAAGTTGCACGGATACAACAATTACTCGATCACTGCCCTCGCTTAAAAGTGATGACACCATCAGATGGTTGTTCGAGAGAATTGCTACACCTCCACAGGAACGATGTTGTAATCTTTGCTCAATATCTTGGACTATGCGATCATCAGACCTCCCAAATATCTTTTAATTGACATCGATATTCTCTACGAAACTTAATTGTTCTAGGGGGAACCAATGTTCAGTGATAACAGCTAAGTCTATATCCTTTAAAATCTCTGACAGAAGAGGTGTCCGATACAAAACGCCTCTTGTATTCCATGTTAGAAGATTCACAAACAGATCAAGAAGTAGCGAATAGAATGGGCGTATGAAGTAATTGTTAACCTCCATGATGAGCGTTTATTTGCGAATCTTTCCTTCGTGCGATCCTCCCATTCGCGGATGAGAACATTCTGCGGCCAGAAATCAGGATCTGTTGCTAAAGCAAAATGTCTCTCTAGTATATTGAGTTTTGCCGTGAAGATCGGATTTGTTTTTTTTTAATCCTCCCAATATTTCATAATTCGCATAAAGGTCACCTTTACGCCTCTGCTGGCTGCTTAGGCGACAACGGAACTTATTACATCCTCCTCTGATGCGTTAGCAGTTATTTATAGCATAATCATTCTTTTTACCGTTGGTTTACGTTTAACTCCACGAAATTCGTAACGCGTTTCCTCGTTTCTAACTACATTTTCAAATGCCACAGAGGTATCTAATCTATTGTATGATACTGAGCTACTGTTGACATCGAGGCGAGTACCTGGTGATACTTTAAGCGAGTATAAGGCATCCGCGTATGAAAGTGCAGTATTTGCTATAGCCTGATCAATAGATTGATTAACACTGTTATCTTCTCTGTTCTTACGAAGTAAGCGTGCTTTCAATGACTTGATTGTTTTGTCCTTCGCTATAACCCTTTCTTTCAGCTCTTTAACCGCTAATCGTAACTCACGTAATTCCTCTGTGTGCTCCTTAGTTAGGAAATGTAGCTGCTCTAGAATTTTTTTTCTCATACCAACAATAATTACAAGTAAGTCGGCACTTACTCCTTTCAGTTCTATTTGTCTCTGCTTTTCCCTTCCAATTTCACTTGACTTCGCCCACGTGTGACTTACGCTAGCTGTACTTTCATTACCTTTTGTGGCTGTATCATGGAAGGAGTCGTTTATTGTTTCATTGCTACCGTTTGCTAGTGTCACGTCGCATATGGTTGTGAGCGGTCCTTGTAACACAAAACATTTTGTATGTCATTGAGGCTCATACTACCGAAGATGTAGTGAAAAAACATAAATATCATCGGCATATTTATCCAGTGCTAATGTGTTTCCCACATTTCTTCGCTTCACGAGTATACCAAGGGGAGTATCTGGTCTGTTATCTATAGTTATGTCATATAGCTATTGCCGAACACATGCTAATTCTTCAGGATGAAGCTTGTAAATGTCTTTAACTTTCTTTTTAAAAGAATCCCTGTCTAGTCCGCCAGCGATTTCGTTCAAAAGAACAAACACACTTTTGTCTATTTACGATGACGTCATCGTTATTTCAACGTCATTGAAGCTCTCTATTCTGTCATACTCATCCGATAAAATGTCCGTGGACATTTTGCAAGTACAACACAGTTGTTTCTATTTCTTATTTTAGCAGTACTATTCGTCTTCCGCGCGCCACACGACCGTCAATCTCAGTTAGGCGCAATAAAGCGTGACGAATCGTGAATCTTGCGTTACCTGAGTCTCTTATCACAGGTAAATGCCTATAACCAATATTTAGATATATATCGTATGCTACAATGGTCAATTCAAATTCCAAACACAGCTTTCAGCTCAATACAGTATATCAGGGTACATCAAAATCTACCTTTTTACAGCCTTTCCAATCCATGAACCAATCCCCATTACCACGGTCAGTAACAACACTGCCCAGCACAGTAAATCACACATATCTCTGGCTTTATCACGGAACACCGATTACGCGATCTATCTGTGCTAACGCCATCTTTATATCCAGAGATATTTAGAGTTAATACATTTGTTGTGTTATAACATTGTATATAGAGTTAATATTTTTTGTATCATAATAGTGTATTTAGATTTAATACATTTATTGTGTTATAATATTGCATATAGGGTTCACACGTCTGTTGTGTTATAACAGTGTATTTAGAGTTAATACATTTGTTGTGTTATGGTATTGTATAAAGAATAAATCCTTTTGTTGTTTTATAACATTGTATATAAAGCTAATGTTTTTGTATTTTTACGGAGTATTTAGAGTTAATACATTTGTTGTGTTATAACAGTGTATATAGAGTTCATACTTTTGTTGTGTTATAACAGTGTATTTAGAGTTAATATTTTTATCTATTATGACAATGTATTAAGAGTTAACTCTTTTCTTGTTATATTACAGTGTATTTAGAAGTAATACTTTTGTTGTTATAGAACATTATATATATATAGAGTTAATACATTTGTTGTGTTATAACATTGTAAAAAGAGTTCATATTTTTATTGTATTATGATAGTGTATTTAGAGTTAATGCATTTGTTGTGTTATAACAATGTATTTAGAAGTACTACTTCTGTTTTTATATTACAGTGTATTTAGAAGTAATACTTTTGTTTTTATATTACAGTGTATTTAGCAGTAATACTTTTGTTTTTATATTACAGTGTATTTAGCAGTAATACTTTTGTTTTTATATTACAGTGTATTTAGCAGTAATACTTTTGTTTTTATATTACAGTGTATTTAGCAGTAATACTTTTGTTTTTATATTACAGTGTATTTAGCAGTAATACTTTTGTTTTTATATTACAGTGTATTTAGCAGTAATACTTTTGTTTTTATATTACAGTGTATTTAGCAGTAATACTTTTGTTTTTATATTACAGTGTATTTAGCAGTAATACTTTTGTTGTATCATAAAAGTGTATTTAGAGTTAATAGTTTTGTTGTGTTATAACAATGTAGCTAGAGTTTATATTTTTGTTGTATCATAACATTGTATATAGAGTTCATACTTTTGTTGTTATATAACAGTATATTAAGATTTAGCACATTTATTGTTTACTTTTAACTATCTATACTGGTACTATGAGCTCTCCAAAAGTATTTAAACTGGTATCACCTGCCACCATTGACGAAATAACCTAAATAGACTGTTATTAATCATCGAATTCTTCATATCGATCAAAACTTTGATGTTTTTTTTTCTGTAACAATCTTTGCAAAGTCACTGGAATAATTAATTTCGGCTGTTATTATTAATAAATCATCCAATCGTTTTTTGTTCTGGAAACACTTTTGATATTAGTTACAAGTGACCAATGATTCACATTTGGTCCATATTCATCGCATATCATTTTATCGTAAATATATATTTCTATCAACACTCTAACCGCATTTAATGAAGATTTACAATAAATTTCTGAACGATGACGGGAAGACTTTTCCAATCTTTATCTGTATAATATGAAAGTCAGTTTATACTTAACCATTGTTACTGCTAGCTCTGTCAATGACTATAAAGCTAATAAAGAATAAAACTCACCTGATTAAAGAAGAAATGGCTGCAACCTTTGGCTGTTTCTGGCAGAGTAACAGTAATATCGACAATATGGTATTTATATATGGCTCTAGACGTATCCATCAAAGATCTATCTCATTCAAGTGTTTTGTGACGTAGAAAGGATGTCCATCAAACTACTTGTAACAAATGTATGCATCATAATGACAAAGAAAAAAAACAGAAATATAC